AATGACTAGGGAGGATAGAAGGAGAATTGATGCCTTTGAGCTGTGGTGCTGGAGAAGAGTATTGAATGTACCCTGGACTACCAAGAAAACAAACAGATTCATCCTAGAGAGGGTTAAATCAGGCTACTCCTTGGAGGCAAGGATTCTGGGACTTCGTCTGACATACTTTGGACATGTTTTAAGGAGAGACAGGTCCTTGGAGAGGGACATCATGCTTGGCAGAGTGGAGGGACAGTGCAGGAGGGGAAGGCCCTCTATGGGTGTGTCAGAGGCAATGCAATTAGCACAGGATAGAGCAGGGTTTAGGGCTGTTGTACAAAGGGTCGCTATGAGTCGCAAAGGACTCGATGGCTCATAACAACAACAACTAGGATTTATGATATAAAGAAATGAATATTGTACATCTATGAGTTTATGATATAAGACTGTACCAGTGCTAATAATAATAGAGCTGATTCAGATCCACAGATGCTCTAGGAGAGAAGAGTTAGCTCTACTAATTTAAACTGCTGATATTTCTGAAGTAGACCACCAAGTCTTCATCATTAAGTAGCTCTGGATACTCACATATTTTAGGCATGTTGTTAAGAAAGGCTATGCCTGGGAGAGGGACATCATGCAAGATAGAGGGTCAGTGAAAATGAGGAAGACCCTCAATAAAAAAGATGTGTTGGCGCAGTGATTGCAGCAAAAGGCTCTGTTGTATCAGAAATAATAAAGATGAACAGTAAAGGACAGGGTCAGGACTCAGATCTGTTGTTTATAGGAATGCTATGAGTTGTATTTGATTCAAGAGTACCTAACAACAACAACAAGCACCACCTCTGTAGAGACCCCAAGAAGCACCCGCTAGTTAGTAGCCAATACACAGGTCGAACAGTTGGGTTGTTCAGAACACTATTGATGTACAAAGTGTGTAGAAGGAAAAGGGTGTGATATTCTACAACTGAACACGTTCAGGTTTCTTATCTAGCATGAAAAGATTTTATTTATATGAAGTATTTCTTGCTGCTACTGCTTAAGTGACACTAGAAAGTGGTATCATGATTGGAGAAAACCCCCTCAACAACATGCCCTGTGCAGATGACATACTTATCTGCAGAAAGTGAAAAACATTTCAAGCACTTATTGAAGAAGATACATATGGATTTAATATGGATTGGCTCACAACATCACAACTTTAATATGGACTGGATTACAACATCTAGAAAATGAAAATTCAGACCACCAGGAGATAATAACATCAATGAAAGAGACCTTCTAAAGAGTTAGTCCCTGTGTGCATCAAAACTTATTCCAAAAGGATGAAGAGAATCTATTAACAAGAAAAGAACATTTGGCAATGACATCTCAGACAAGGGTCTCATAAGAAAACATTTACAGAATACTACAAGGTCTCCACAAGAAAAAGACGGAAAAACCAATTACAAAATGGGCAAAAGTCCTTTCAGAGAGAAGAGATTCCCATGGCCAACAGACACACGAAGAAAGGCTCAAAATCACTGGCAATAAGAGAGATGCACAGCAAAACCACAATGAGATAACATCTGACCCCAACTGCAGTGGCAAACTTTAACAGGACAGCACGCACTAAATGTTGGAGATGATGTGGAGAGATTGGAACGCTCATACACTACTGGCAAGACTGTAAAATGGCACAACCACTCTGGAAAGCAGTTTGGCGTTTTCTCAAAAAGTTGAATGTAGAGATTCCTCATGACCCAGCTATTCAACTGCTAGGCATATACCGCGAGGAAAATAGACAGAAACAGAGACTTTTTCACAGATCTTTATAATAACATTATTCACAATAGCAAGAACATGGAGCAGGCTAACTGTACCTCAACAAACAATTGGATTGAAAATTGTGATGTATCCACAGGATAGAATACTATGTAGCACTCAGAAGCAATGATTTTGAAAAACACTACATAACATGTAAGAGTCTAAAGAGCATTATGCTGAGTAAACTAATTCAGGAGCATAAGAAAAAATAGTGTATAAGACCATTACTGGAAAAACAGAAGGATAACCTGTAAGATGTGTATGGATATACAAAACAGGAAAGAGAGGAGAAAGGGGAACTGAGGGTGGGGTGGGGGAGAAATCATGAGGTCCTACATTTGGTGAGTGGAGGGAGAGGTGAATAAAAACAACAATGTACATGTATGAAACACAATATAAATAAATTAAGGTATGCAAACAAATTTAAAAATCCAAACAATCTTCACCACTGAATCAACAGGAAGTATCATGACAGATGGTAAAAATATTGAAGTTATCAAGGATTTAATTTTATTTAGGTCCACAATCAATATGCATGGTAGTATCAGTCAAGAAATCAAAAGACATGTTGCATTAGAAAAATCTGCTCTCGAGGACCTCTTCAAAGTGTTAAAAAAGAAGAACATAATTTTTGTGTTTTTTTAAAGAATATAATTTTCATGACTATGGTGCCCTTTATTCAAGTGACAGAATTTTCACTTATTTCCTATTCATCCAAAAGTTAGACAACGAATAAAGAAGATCAAAGAAAAATCAATGTCTTTGAATTGCTGTGCTGGTGAAGAGGACTGAGTATCTATCCTATAGACTGCCAAAAAAGTGTCTTCCTGTCTTTGAGGATGTGCAAACAGGGTGCTCTTTAAAAGCAAGGATGGTGAAACTCCAACTCACACGTTAGACATGCTATCCAGAGAGGGCTGCTGTTGTTGTGGTTATGTGTCTTCAAGTCACTGGTGACTCATAGCAACTGCAGCTCTGAATCCAACTCGTCTCGAGCCATCCTCATTGTCTCTGACACACCAATCCCCACTACCCCAGTCACTGAGTCAATCCATCTCATCTAGGGTTATCCTCTCTTGTGCTGCTGTCCCTCTCCAAGGATTGGTCCCTTCTTGCAACTTTCCCTAAGTATGTCAGATGAAGCTTCAAATTCCTTGCCTCCTAAGAGCAATTTGGCTTTACCCTCTCCAGGACAAACCTGAATAGGGAAAGGCTACTTTGAATAATCTTGCTACTTTGAACAATCCCGCCAGTAAGGAGAATGACTTCCATTGTATAATTTTTTAAAGGAATTTTACTTGTGTATCTGTCTCAATCTATATCAATCTTAATTCTCACTGAAGAAAAGCAATCATAACAATTTTACAAAAAAGACTAAAGAGAGAAGATGTATGTGAACCTATTATTCAACTGTCAAACACACGTGTGAACAGCTCTAGGAAACAGTGATGAACATCGATATTACAACTGAACTGACTCATCCATAGCTAGTTACAATAAAGGAGTAGAAACCAGAGTAATCATGTCAAGCACCAAATCAGCCTTAATAAGAAAGGTCAAAAATGTCTCAGGACCAATGGAAGCTGACTCACCACAGCAGGCGGGTGCTGGGATCTTCTCAGCAGCATGAAGAGAGAGTCCTGCCAGCTTTTCTCCATACTCTGCTGAATTAGCTGGGTCAGGTTTGGGACTGGCAGTGCCTGGCACAGAGAGAAATCAGCTTGTGAGCCTGTGTGAACAGGGACAATAGAAAGAGCATGCTGTGTCTTTCAAAGATTCTCCTTAACTAAAGGACACTTATCTGAAAAGGATATGGGTCTGTCAGACTAGAACTCACAAGATACCAGGAAATATGCTAAAAATAAGGAAAAGCAGAGTCTGAGACAGTGGACAGAAGGATTTGCAGACCACCACTGAGCTAGAGTCATGACTGTAGCCCATCCTCCTTTGGGAGAGGCAGTGTGATCCAACGTAAAAGAGCATGGACTTCAAGCTGGCTACACTGAGTTCCATCCTGATTCAACACTTAGGCGGCATGTGATACAGAGCTGGTAACTCAATGTGACACTTTCAACATGTTCAATATGGGAAGACATAGGCTTGACATGGAGATAAAAGAACTACTGTATGCAGTGCACTCAAAAGAGCTCTAAGAATCAAATGCAAAGACTTTCTTGCTATACCTCTGCTAGCTTCCCCTCACCCTAGTTCCCAGGATTTCCCTAATGATTGCCATTCTGAGAACTTCAGAGTGAACTTGTGTCTATAAAAGAATATAAACATAGCCTAAGAATTCCTATGTTTACGGCCCTGAAGTCTATGGGGGAGAGAATAGTTTAATAAAAGTATTATATTTTAGGGCATTATGTTTATCGTAAGAGTATGGAATGAGGGTTGCAGATGTGCGGGGGGAGGGATTGTGTACCAATGAGGGAGTTTTTCTTTTGCTTTTCAAGGAGAGGAGCAATCAGGGCGGGTGGGGGGGAGAGAGGGGTGGGCGGGGAGAAGGGTGCAACAATGAATGAATGGAATTCCAAAATCTCTGTAGATGTTCATTGAAATGAAAAATAACTAACTAACTAAATAAATAAATAAATAAAAAGAATTCCTAAGCCTTCCACCTCCTTCCACTGGTTAAGCCATGCCCGCACCTCCTGAGACCATTTTCCCATAGTTCTCCAGCATGAGGTTCCAGTAGTGCTCCTTCTGAGTAGAATCCAGTTGTCTCCACCGCTCCTGGAAAAAACACAATGTCATGACCTTAAACATGGCTCCAAAGAGAGGTACTTGATCCCACCTATAGGAAATATGAGAAGGAATGAATGTGCCAAAGGAGCCTAAAATCAGAAAATCTGAGAAACTCAAGGAAAGAGATTAATGGAGGAAAAGGCTGAGAGTAAAACTACAATCCCTACTGCAGGATTTCTTGTCCTGAGTAACTTCCATGTGTATATTTTCAAGTTGTATGACTTTAAGGGTAAGCACTTCCTGTTGAATGTAAAACATACCAGAGGTATTTCAACCTCCTTTTTTTTTTTAACTACTTTCTAAATCACTTAGTGTAAGTCAGTCAAACATTCTCAATATTGAAATGAAATCTAGAAATTCCAAGGTATAAAGAAATGAAAAATGAGTTTGTTGCCAGTGCAAATTTGCAAAATAAGGAATCATTAACATTTAAGTTGACTGTGTTTAAGCCTCATCCTGAGACAAGACTTGTGTATTCAGAAGAAGGGTAACACACCTCTGTAATCTCTTAAGAATTTTAGGGTGTAACACTCAGTCAATGGATGAGTTGTCATGAATAAGGCAGCCTCACATATCCTCTCAAGGAAAGTTCTCTGGGGTATTAGGGGTAAGGAATTACACTGCCAACCCAAAGGCAAGCAGTTCAAATCTACTAGTTGCTCTATAGGTGTAAGACGGGCAATTTCTTCCCCTGTGATTTACTGACTGAAAACCTACTTGAAGGGTCAGCTATAAGTGGGTTCCAACCAGAAAGTTCCTAACAAAAAATAAATAGAAGTAGAGTGAGTTCTGGTGCCTTCTCTGTAGGGAACTGTGCTGCCAAGACAGAGGGGGTGCCTCTAAGGTGGTTCAAATCCACAATCAGCTCCACAGGACAAAGATGGGGAGTCTTATCTCATGTGATTTACATTTTCCAAAAACCTGCTGGAGAGTCAGCTATCAGTCAGTTTCAACTTGACAACAATGAGTTTGAGTTTTGAACTGGGCAGAAATTGTTGTTGTTCTATGTCATCAAGCCGCCTGTGACTCATAGCGACCCTATGTACAACAGCCCTAACCCCTGCTCTATCCCTTGCCAATCTTATTGATTCCGACATACCTATCCCCATTACCTACCCCAGTGATGAAATCAATTCATCTCATCAAGGGTCTTCTTCTCCTGTGCTGTCTCTCCACCCTCCTAAGCATGACGTCCCTCTCCAAGGACTGATCCTGCCTTGCAACATGGCCAAAATATGTCAGACAGAGCTTCGGAATCCTTGCCTCCAAGGATCTGTCTGGCTTTACCCTCTCCAGGACGAACTTATTTGTTCTCCTGGAAGTCCATGGTATATTCAACACTGTTCTCCAGCACTAAAGCATTACCTTTTGGTTCTGACCTTCAGCAAGTTGTTAAATTTTTCTAAGCCTTGGTCCTCACCAGAATTCTCATCAAGAATGGAGTGAAGGGAGGAATCAGGTTTATAGATCCCTCATGATGCATCATTTGCTTTATGAAACACTGTAAGTTTAATTCAAAGTATTCATCAAGTTACTGTTATTATCTGTTGAACCCATTACATCTCATAGCAATTCTATGCATCAGGAGGGAGCGGGGGTGGGGGAATAAGAGTTAATAAATAAAGACCAAGGGGAGCTCTGGTGGCCTAGTGACAAGAAGCTGCAACTACAATCCCAGAGGTGCACGGTTCGAATCCACCAGATACTCTGCCGGGGAAGGAGGGGCAATCTCCTCCTGTACCAGTCAGATCTGATTTGACGGTACATGCACACAAAAATAATAATTAAAAATAGATAGATAGATGATAGATAGATAGATACCAAAAAATTTTCCAAATCTCTTAAAAACTCTAATCTTACAAGCAAGTTGTGGGTTTGAGATAAGATTTGTTTCATCACAAGTCTTTTTCACCTTTGTTCAAGACCCAGATTTCCTGATTCTAAATGGCAATTTAGAAAAAACATTCTCCCTTAAGAAGATCTGACAGAAATATTCAAATTCAAGTTTTTCTTCATGCTTATTGTTTCTGTTATCCTAGTGAAACCCTCTTTTCCACTGAACTTCTGAAAATTCACTCCTTTCAGTCTTCCTAATCAGCAGTCAAGAAATCAAAGGACAAATTGCAATGGAAAGGCCTGCTGTCAGGGAACTCTCTGAAGCGCTAAAGAACAATAATGGCAGTCTAAAGACTAAGGGACACCCAATCCAGGCCTTCATTTTCACAATTATTTGCTGTGCATCAGAGAGCAGGACAATGACTAGGATGACAGAAGAACTGATGCCTTTGGAGTTGTGGTACTGAAGAAGTATACATAACATATCACAGACTGCCAGAACAAATAGGTCTGTCTCAGAGAGAGTGAAACAAACTTTCTCCTTGGAAAAAAGGATTTTTGAAGCTCCCTCTCACATACTTTGGGCACATGGCCTGGAAGGATCAGTTCTTGGAGAAGGACATGATTGGAAGGGTGGCCAGAGAGCACAAGATAGGAAGACCCTGGATTAGACAGACAGACATGGTAACTGGGGCAATGAGATTAGGTTTGTTGGAGTCAGTGAGGTTGGCACAGTACAGTGCAGGGTTCAAGGCTATTGTACACAAGGCCCCTATGAGTAACAGGTATCTGGACAGCACATAACAACAACAACAACAATAACTTGTGAATGCTCAAAACTGGTTCAGAGACATGAAAAGCAAAGAAAGCCAGCTAACCTGAGATGATGCATTAAGAAGTGAGCATCCTGAGTCCTGGTCACTGATAAGCCTTTCCTCCAGATGGCCAAGAAACTGGGAAGAAGCCACCACTGAAATGAGAAGTAGGAAGTTTTAGGAATCTAGATGTCCTTCTCAGTTACTCCTCACAGTATATTAATTTTAAAAAAAAAACAAGAGAACAGTGGCAAATTAGAACTGATACTTCTCTTCACAATTTCAAGATTTATACTTGCATCACCAGCCAAATCCAAATCTGTCAAATATCACAAAGACCCTCACCCACATATTCTCTCCCCTCCTTGTTCAATTCCAAAATCCAAATGATCAAAAAAAAAAAAAAAACACAAAAAAACAAAATCCAAATGATCTAAGGCAGTATAAAATTGTTGAAAATGGAGACACGGAATCTCCCTAATCAGAGTGACTTGTGAACATCGACCTTGTTCCCAAAATTGCGCGAGACATGGCAATCTGAACATACTTTCAACTAAGACAGGCAGGAACCTAATTTTTCTCCAAGAAGCCCCCAACAATACCATGAATAAAAAGTAGCCTTACCTAATTCTGGCTCAGTGTCAGCTTCCTCTTTGATGATGTGGCTCAGCTGCTCTTCAGGCCCTGAAGCTGAATTCTGAAGTCCCAGCTCCTGATGCACCACTTCAGGACAGGCCTCTGCCTCCCTCACTTGGCAGCTTGCAGATTCCACCTTCTCAGGTAAGCTTTCCTGTCCTAGAACCTGGCTGCTGATCTAAAGATCATATGTTACTAGTTACTGTAGGATGCTGTGTTGGGATTGTTGAAAACATGAAGCAAATCTTCTACAAAAGATTATAGGACAGTCCTTAGGAATAGGTAACAAGGAAAAGACAGTCACCTTCTTTTTCACAGTCAGCAGGTATTTCCAGTCATTGATGGACATACTGGCCAAGCCTGCAAGACCTTCAAGACAGGCCTTTAATACGGGGTTTCAACTAAACAATCCGTACCAACGAAAACCTAACAAAATCTAAACACTGGAGTGTTAAGTTAGAATGGAACCCCAGATTATACCTTCAATTCATAACAGCTAGAGTATGGAAAGTCACTAATACACAGGGTAAAGAAAAAAAACCAGCTGTGCAAGGGTTAATTTCAACTCACTGCAACACCATAAACAGAGAAACTCTTTAAGGTTTTCTTAGCAATAATCTTCATGGAAAGTTGATGACAAGATCTTTCTTCTAATGGTGTCACTTGGTGGGTTCAAAGTATCAACCTAAGGTTAGTAGTCATCCAGGACACTGAGAGTCACACAGCAGCGTAGATGAGGCAGGAGGAAACCCCAACAGTACCCTAGTTCCCAGTACCCTCTGCTTACCCACTGCCACAGTCTCTGTGGGTCGCCCTTCAAGCTCTCTACTAGCATCACAGCCTCTTCTCCACTGGCAGGACGCTGTGCGCGCACCCACATCTGGATCTCTCCAGGCAGGATGGTCAGGAACTGCTCCAACATGAGGAGCTCCAGGATCTGCTCTTTGCTGTGAACCTCTGGCTGCAGCCACTGGAAACAGAGCTTCTGAAGTTGCCTCAGGGTCTCATGGGGCCCGGACAGCACTTGGTACTGAAAGTGTCTGAAAAGCTGCCGGGCAGCTTCAGGGCTGGAAAATTCCCCTGAAGGGGCAGCAGCTACTCCAGGGAGTAGGGGGTCCGCTGCCTTTGCCAGTGGTGGCACCTGGACCAGGGCCTGTTCCAGCTCCAATGGCATCACTGGGATTGTCAAGGTATTTCACGTCAGCAAAGTCCTTCTGCATGGAAGGATGCTCTGGGGAGAACCAGGTCTTCACACAGCCTCCTGCAGGGACGCTGGGGAAGGAAGAAGTTACAGTGATGCACAGAGAACAACATGGTTTTAGAAACAAACTCACATACCCTGCTGAGAAGCCTTGGACTCAGCCATCAATCTCTGAAACTGCCAATGGATGAAAAAATGAAAGATAGTGTTGAGACGGCTCCAACTCACGTGGACCATGTTCCTCAAAGTGGAGTTGTGCTCCACAGTCCTGTGCACAGTGGGCTGGTTACTCAGAGGTAATCACTGGGTCTTTCTCTCAAGACAATATGTGGTACATTCAACTTCTCACCTCTAAGTCAACAGCAGAGGACTTTAAATGTTCACACAACCAGGGGCTCAAAAAATGTATCCTTTATCTGGAAGCAATGTATGCTTGTTGCCACAGATCAAACCATCAACACACTATCTACTTTAGCATCAACACCATGTCCACTTTATAACCTTGTTGGTTGGTTTTCAAATGTGCACACCAAGCACAAGAGTGCCTTTTACCTCATGAAGGATTTTCACTACCGGCTTCCAGATAAATACAACTTCTGCATCTAAACCTTCAGTATTACATCTGTCCATTTGGAGACTGAAAAGTAAAGCTAGACAAGTACACCAGTGCCCTACAAGTAAATCCCCATGATGCTTCTAGAATAAACACAAAGTTGAAGAGAATGAAACACTCCTTTTCAAAAGGTGAAATGAAATTCCCAAGTGACTTCCTTTTAGTAACATGTTGGAATGTGGTCTCTCTGGGAAATGATGATAAACCTGTCAACCTGTTTTAACCTTTAGCTCAAAGGGTATTTGGAACAAATATTGGCTACCTAAAGTAAAAGCATACCTATTGTTTTAAACTAACTAGTATTTTATGGATCATTTTGGCAAAATTTTTAAGTCTCCAACCATAATAGAGAAGATAAATACAAAAGAATAAAATTAAAATTATATACCTTTTGATGATGTTTTAAGGATAATTATCTGGAAATTGTACAACTCTTCTCTCAGTTAACAAGTAGGTCTGAAAAGGAATAAAATAATTATGATATGAAAAACCTAACCTAAAAAGCACAATTTTAGGAAGACCAAGACCACTTCTACTCACTTAGCCCAGTAACTATAGAAAACACAGTCACTTAAGACATTCAACAAGGCAGATCAAACGCTTATTAATTACCAAATCATGGGATCATATAGCATGTTTTCTCTGACTGTAATGCAATTATAATTCCATATTGTAATATATAGAAATTATTAACACTTTAGTAAAAGGAAAACTAAAAAACATAAACATTTGTAAGATACAACTAAAGCTTAGTTTAGGGTGACTGCTGTTTTGTGCTGTGGAGTCAGAACCAGCCCACAGCTGACTCTCTAGCAGGTTTTCGGAGGAAGTAAATCACAGGGGATATTCCACATCCTTTTTTCCCAGAGCAGTTGGAGGATTCGATCCTCTTATCTCTGTGATCGCACTGCAGCTTCAAACCACAAGGCCATCAGAGCTCTTAGAGAGATACACAACTTTAAATAAATGTGGTTGTTTTTAGGTGCCCCCAAATCCAGCAGGACTCATAGCGACCATACGATCAACAGATCTGAACCCTGTGCGATCCTGTGCCAGAGCACCTGACCACCACAGTTCTGCGGACTCAGCGGGTTAAGAGGAGAGGGGATGGCGGGAGGCCCGATCCCGAGGGGCTTTACCACCTTCAAACCGCGGACCCAGGGGGCTCAGAGGAGAGGCTAAGGCAGGAGCCCTGATCCCCAGGGGCCTTATCCACCGCTGTGCCGCGGACACAGCGTACTCAGAGAAGCGACAGCGGGAGCACCAATCCCGAACAGCCAGGCCCACCACCCGCACGCGGACCCAGCGGGCTCAGAAGGAGAAGCGCCAGCGGAAGCCTCAATTCCAGGATCAGTGCAAAACCGGAACACTCACCTCCACCGCGGCCGCGGAGCACTCCCGGGCGCAGCTGCGTGCTTAGATCGCGGCCTTGGGGGGCGGAGCCGGAAAAAGGGCAAGGCCCAGATTGGCTGCCAGAGCCACCTTACGTCACCACCCTGTGAGTTCAGTCGTGGGTTGTTGTTTCCCCTCAAGTCAACTTGATACTAAACTCCGCTCTATCCTGTGCCAAACGCACTGTCTCTGACACACCCATCCCGATTACCCCGGTCACTGAATCAATCCACCTCATAGAGGGTCTTCCCCTCCTGCACTGTCCCTCCACCCTCCCAAGCATGATGTCCCTCTCCAAGGACGGGTCTCTCCTTGCAACATGTCCAAAGTATGTTAGAGGGAGCCTCAGAATCCTTGCCTCCAGGGAGCCGCCCGGTTTAACCCTTTCCTGGATGAATCCGTTTGTTTTCCTAGCAGTCCATGGTATTCTCAATACTCTTCTCCAGCACCACAGCTCAAAGGCATCTAGGGACCCTATAACCAAAAGATGTGATTCTGCCCATGTCCTCTGACATCCTCAATATCTTCAAAATGCTTGACCCCATTGTTACAGCCATCTTCTCAACCCATCCTGTCAAGAGTAAACTGACCCTTCAACTTTTCAAGCATGATGTCTTTCTCTAAGGTCTTTTCAATTGATATGCAGAACAGATGATTCGGGAGTCTAGACTTTATGAGGAGGAATGTGTCATCACAATTAGAAGAAGACTCATCAACACTGAGTCGGAAAATCAAAAGGGCCGAACTCGCTCAGCATATCTTAAGCTCAAGGAACTGAAGAAGAAATTCAAACCTCGAGTTGCTATA